CTTCGCAGAGAAATCGAATTTGAATATTCACTGTTCCCCACGTGAGACTGAATACAACACTTTTAACCCTCCGTGGCCTCCGTTATTCTTACTGCTTTCGTCATCCCGCTGGGTCTTTTAAGTCCATACCTATTTTTTTTGTATCTTATAAACTTTCAAAAAATCTGAAAAAATTCAATAATTTTTAAAGTTGAATGTTAACCCTCGAAGTACGAACGCTTTTAATATTCGTAGAGACATTTGTGTCTGGATATTTATACGGCTTTTAAACACTCGGGTCCAAATTGACCCGGTAACTGTGCTCCAAGGTGTAAAAGATTTTGTTTTACTAATGGTCCCTTCATTTCGGAGATATTTGAACGCAAAATTTCGTTCGTGCCATAAAAAGACCCAGAGGATCGTGAAGGGTTAATATGTCTGATCATTACGTTACCGTTTCTACTCATTCTCAATAAGTAACGGACCAATGAACCAAAATAGGAATGTTCGATTCCTATTCGATTCTTCAGAAGATCGATTTTTTAAGTAACACATCACTAGCATGTATAACCCATACAGTAACAGCAAAAAGTATAGGACCAGGTCTGGCAATTAAAGAAAAAGGTCAATATTATTCTACAAAGAGTTGATGAAGGTAACGTATTAAAACTGATGGGAAGTGATTTGTATATGTATTCCGTAACTTTTATTTTATCGCAAAAGAATAATGAGTTATTCCTCCATCAATCATGAACTCTAGTTCCATACTTTTGGCCAGTATTATACATGCTATACATAACAGCGACGTGTTAATCAAGAGAATCGATCTTCTGAAGTATCGAATCGGAATCGAACATCCCTACTCCAAAAGGGGTTATTTTTTAAAAGAAAGACTTACATGAAATCTTTTAATTCTATAATTTAGTTACTAGTAATAAGTAGTGTAATTTAGTAATTACACTAAGAGCCAGAAACAGACCACTCTCTGTACGTTACTCGATGGATACCAGCCTGAGTACTATGCAGACCATAACCACAGTCAGTGGTACATACTATGACCCCATTGGTGGCCAAAAAAAGTCGCACGCAAGCGGTCCGTACAAGTAGCCATACACGCACGTCTCATTTCTCGGATCTCTGGCACGCAGTATCATTAATCTTATCAGGATGCGCGCGGTATGCACGGTGCGCGTTCCATAATGCCGGGGTACGGTGTAATTTTTCGAAGTCGCGCCGGAGGCCGGTTAATAAATCACGAGTTTTTTTTTCAGTTTCGCGGAGAACCAGGGGAAATTCTGCGGCGGTTGTTCTCTCGCTTGGAAGTGGACGGGGACCACGAGAATACGTTGATCGATCAACGGTTTTAGATCGTCGACGCGCGATTCGACCGCAGAGAATGATATTTCAATTATCGTCGAGGTTCTAGGAATCTTTCGAAATCAATCAAGCGGCGATGAGGTCATTTGGAAGTGTACAGAGAGATAACGAAGGAAATAAAGAAAGGGGAGACAGAGAGGGGAGGAAATAGTGATTTGTTTTAATCCCCGCGACATTGGAGCCGATGAAGAACACAGAGATGCAGAGGTGTGCCTGATAATCACTGCTTATTGTTATTTATGGTGCTGTTTATAGATATTAACAGTGGTTATGGTATAATTACTTTTCCAAAATTATCGAAGGTAGTAGTTAGATGTTAAGATTTCTAGAAACAACAACACCGTGCCACTGTCTTGCTCGTAAGTAGAAGTAGTAAGTAATAGTCAGACGCGCGATTGACGCTACAGTAGATCCTAGGTGTAATACTGCCTTTTTAATGAGGTTTATCACAGTGACAGAGCTTGAAATACTGAAGCCAATGATATTTGTTTGTCACATATGGCCATTAATTTATGAAATAATTCATGTTCAGTGCAGAGGAGCCTTCGAACATTCACTGAGGATTTACTGTCTGATTAAAAAGCAGAGGAAGTTGTCAATATTATAAACATTTCCGTTTTAAATTAGACTTAAATATTACGCTAACCTGTTAGTGTAATATTAAAAATTCCATAAGATTTTGCCATTTTTTTCTTCCATTTCCTAATTTTCTCACATAAAAAATATTACAATACCGCATTGATTTCCAAATTTTCAAGCTTCTAACACCTCAGCAATGAATTTAATACTTGTTAGAAAAAGGGAAAAAGGTAAATTTCGTATGCTTGAACAAATTATTAATTAATTTATAGTCATTAACTGTATTTATGAAAACAACTGATTTCAAACCTTCAAATATATACTAACTTCATTTCTAAATCCTATTTAACTCCTTCCCGTTTTAATAGGGAATAAATCTTTCTTTACGATTTTTGTATCGATTATTCGATCCTCGAATCGATTCTCTGAAGTGAATCGAACATCCCCAGTTCATAAACCACCGCGCTCTTTTCCTTCAAAGTCCCCGCCGCGACGTTGGCATGCACGCACATCCTCAGTTTCGCGATTGCAAGTCCACCCTCCTCGCCTCACCCCCACTCCTTGTACACGCGACACCAAACGGCCGTGCAAGAGGCGAGCGCGCGCGCGCGCTTACACTCGCAGGGAGAACACGTGTCCTCTGAGGAGCGTGCGCGCACACACACACACGGCCGCGTCTATAAATAAAACGGCGTCCGCCGTTTTAATCTGCCCTGGCCCCGCGTTTAGCGCGCGACGGACAAAGGGCGATATCGGCGGCGACCAGAAAATCGTTGCGAAACCGCCCGCCAGACACCGACCAATCGTGAGTTTCCCCGTTGCCGACGGAGAAAAGTCCACGGAAGGAGGGAGGATGAAAAACAAAATGATTAAAAGAGATACGAGCGAATCGAACCTCACACGGGGGAGGGGGAGGGGGAGTACCGGGACCTCCATCGACCGCACGTGCGCGTAACCCTATACCCGCGAAAAATAGATTCTCGGTAGAGAGGAGGCTCGCCTCGGAAACGCTCGCCATGATAAAATAATTGTAATCGGACGCCCAATCGGACGTAGGGCGACTCTCGTATATGCGTTCATGGCCGATCTTCGAGGGTGTCGTGGAATATTTCGTACTCCGTTTCTCTGAGAAACAGGAGGCTTGCTTGGGGCACGTGTTCGTTGCGGTGAGTGAAAATATCCGCGCATACACTTTTTTAACAAATTATTTTGTAGATTATCTTTGGGTTATATATCTTGGAAACTTTTTATCACCTCGTTCTCGATCTTCATTCGTAGCATTTCCTATAAAGTGTTTCTTTTTGGATTGTTGCTTCATTATGTTGCGGAGATTTCCAAGAGTGTGAAGAATTTATTTTATGCAGCGTTTATTCACGTTAATTTTACGGAAATGGCATTGTAAATATGATTTTTCGTAGTAACAATTGCTGCTGTATGCATCCCGATTGATTTTGTTGATAAGGTGTGTTGACCACCTCGTCCTTCACTTGTGTACGTTGCTTCTTAAGCCTGGTACACACGTCACAACCTTTAATGTCCGAACGCTCTTACGTTGCTTTTTTTTTCGTTTCGCGAGAACGTCCTCGTAAGGTGCTCCTCCGGTGTAGTTTCAGCCGAATTTAAAATTATCCTCGACCAATGGGTCCGCTACGCACCGCGTAGTTCATTTACGATCTGTTTGTTTCACCCGAAGCGGGTGTAACTTCCAACGGTGATTGCACAATATTGCACAATTCTTGCTCGTCCCGCGTCGCAATAATGCTCCCGCATATGTTAACAGGGCTCAATAACGCGAGTTCCCAAGCGGCGAATAGACTTTCTCTTTCAAGTTCATTCGGCGTATAAACCCACCGCCGTCGTCCGCCATGTCGTTTTTTTCTTCACTTTGCCCCTCGATGACGCTAGGAGATTCGGCGGTGTGCCTCGAATGAACCACGAGGAAGGTGCGTTTCTGCTTTTTCTTTTTTTTATTTATACGGTGGTTCTTTGTAGAAAATTATACGGTACACGATCTGATTCACAAATAATTAAAAGAAAACGTGAACCGTATTGCACAAATTAAATGGGATTCCAGACACGTTCGATTGTTTAGCGATCAAGCGTGAAAGGGTAGGATCCAGCCGAGCGTTGGAACCGGACGTTAATTCGCACACGTTCGACAAACGGTCCCACTGAATGAAACACCGCTTGTCGAAGGCTTGCCAAGTGGCCTGTTTATTTTAGACGATAGCTTTCGATCCTCCTCGAGGTCCTTTATACTGTTTTCTTCGTACAGAAGGCTACTTTGTACGGAGGCGCAATGTAATTGAACGAGGGGGTTATCTCTCGTGTCGACGATCCGTCAACAATAAAGCGAACACGTCAGCCTTCGAGTAACTCGCATATAGAAGCGGTGTGTCCGACGGTGCTCTAAGCGACTTTCTAAATTTAAACCGACCACTTTCACACGCGCGCGCGCGAACGCTGCAATTTTTTCGTGAATCGTCGAAATTTTTTCGTTTTACGACGTAGTCGTCGCATCTCGAGACCCCAAATTTCAACCGGTTCCGACGATTCGTCTTCCTTTATTGTTTCAAATGTTTCTACACTTTATCGTTCGGCTTCGAGACACCGTCGCCATTAATCATCCGACTTTAGAGTTTCAGGATTTCGTGCACGGGTTCTCGCCGGGCCATGTGGCACAGCATATTCGACCACTTAACGCCTGGATCTATTTGTTGGTACAAACTAGAAAATACCGCGTAAATCGAGTAGCCTATCCCTTTTCCAAATAAATCGCGCAGCTGTTTCAACTCTTGCCTAATGACAGGACCGTTTGTTTGACGGTAAACAGAAACGAAGGATCCACACGCGGGTAGCCCAGCCTCCATTTTCATTTTTCCGTTTCTTAGCCTCCAACTACTATAAATCTCTATACTCTCCACCGTTCCGTGGTTATTCTGTACTTTCAACGACAAACCAAAAGACACTTTGCGTGATGTAACCACGGACGAAACGCAAGGCCTCGGCTTAATTAGTAAAGAAAACAAGAATAATGTCTGGAGAACACGAACATGAAGGATTACCTGCTGATAAAGCAGTTCCTGCGCGAGGATATTAGCAATGTCGACTGGATCCATGGCGGTGGCTGCCATAGCTCGAGGTATCGGTTATTCGTTCAGTGTTCGTTTCGTGTCGTCGAAAGAAAGAAATTAAATAAAAGGAATGAACGGGAGGGAATATGGGATCCAAGGAACCAGCGCGAAACTCGTCGTCTCCACGCGCGGGTTATGAAAGGAGGGGATGAGGGGGGTGGGGTGAGGTTTAAAGTAGAAAAAAGTAACTTCAGTCGATCGTTCGTTCGTGAGGGATCGTCGTTCGGGACGTCGGTGTGCGCCTGCCTCCCTTCCCCTATATCCTATCGTCTCTCTTTTCTCTCGCCACTCTCTCGATTCTCCTCCCTCGCGCTCGTTCGCTCGTCTTCGTTTTCTCACTGTCCGAAAGAGTTCGTCACCACTGCGTCCTCCACCGACGCCTCTCTTACACTGAGCCTGCCGACGCCGCTCTGCTCTTCGTGGCCATACGCGACGAGGAAACCTAAGCTAAAAATAACCTTCGAATTTCGAGTATGTGCGCTTGACAGAGAGAGAACAAGATGGAACGGAGAAAGAGATAGAGACAGAGAGCAGAAGAAAAAGGTGGGAGGGATTTCCGCGCCCTCGTTCAATTCTCTGGATGGCACATTGACCTTTTTGCCATTTTTTTCAGCCATATTTGAAAATAGATTTTTCTCGAAATGCCCCCCCCCCCCCGCCTCCCAAAAAAATCAAATTCGTCAGTTCGTATTTCACGAACAATAAACATCGTTCAATACTCCATTAACACGCCGACTACGTCATCGAAGATCAGCGATGTCAATTAATTAAAAAACGTATCAAAAAGCCCCGTCATACTTGTTGAACGTCTTAATATTTGAACATAACCTATAATGTCCAACTAATACTTGAACATAACCTATAATATCCAGCTAATATTTGAACATAACCTATAATGTCCAGCTGCTACTTGAACATAACCTACAATGTGCAGCTAATACTTGAACATCACCTATAATACCCAGCTGATACTTGAACATAACCTCTAATGTCCAACTAATATTTGATCATAATCTATGATGTCCAGGTCGTACTCCGTGTGTTTGTTACGGGTGTTGTTCGGTTGGTAAAGCAGTCGAACTGCAACATCTGGATCCGAATCCTGGTGTATATACACATATCCCCTCCACCCCCCAATATCGATCTCGTTTGACGCGTTTTACGTACCCGTAGAAAACGTTCGAGGCAAGTTTGGATGTTTAAGGCGCAACGATCTCTCCCTAGAGGTTTATGGTCGAGCAGATAAGAAAGGGGGTGTCTTTACGACTTTCTCCATTGTTCCGGCCTCCGACGGAAGCGGCATTCTTTTGGAATCGCGTAATGGTCCGAAAAGTTCTCCACCGTTTTAACGCCCGCAGTCGCCGATTTATCCGTGACGGTCACCCTGGCCGAAGATTTATACTAATGCGCGGATGTCTTTACTAGCCGCGAAAACACGAATTATCCCCGAGGCTGTCCGCACGGAAGGAATTATTTGCGTAACAGTTGTCGGCGTACGAGGATGATGTTTCGAGTCTCCGGTCCAATTTAATTCGATTAATGGTCCTCTACTTGCGGTGAGACTTATACATCGATCGAGGAATGGATTTCACTCGTTTTATAATAAATTACATCGTACGAACGATTCTGATTGCTATACATATTTCTGTATGAACATCATATGAAAGTGACTGTCTTAACGTGGCAAGTTTTGGAAGCTCAATTACAGGATTCAACCGATAAAAAGTACAGATAACAATCATTTTCGTATACTAATCGTTCAAAGCTATGTCATTGTTGCATCAAATGAGCGATATGTTGTGACACTTCAATTTCTAAGTGGACATACTTTATTTGATGAAAGCAGAATATTGCTTGCAATATAAACCTATATTTCATATTATTCATTATCTCTGTTTTGTGTATCCTTAACACGTTAAGCGGCATCATGTAAAAAATTATGTTGTTTTTGGCCAATGTACTAAAAAAAAGCTGAACTTAAATAAAGGACACCGTATCTAAACTAATAATACAGGGGCCTATGCGGCCAGAATATATTGTATTCATTTGTATACAAATGGCGCTTAGCTTGTTAATATCTAATCTACAAAGAAAGAACACTACACTGAAGAGGACGATGTGGACTTATAGAGTGATGGTCTGTGACGAACGTTTTTGAAACCATATGGTGGTAACCAACGTGTTAAAGACCCTACACATACACAACGATACCTGGGTCAGTATTTGGACCCTTCCATCCATTTCGAAGCATCCAGTAAATCATCGATGAGTGTTCGGAGGATCCTCAGCGCTGAGGATTCAGACATCAACTCCATTACTAAGTGGAGGATCCCGTGGAACCTGTCAAACCCCCAGTGGTGGGGATGACGTATGATCATCGATGATTTACTGTATTTCGAGACGCATATCCTCGTGAAAAACGTCAGTAGATGTAATATACACTGTTGGCTTAAATTGCACACCATAATATGGGTCGAAATAGATCCAGATACGCTCATCGAAGGGTTAACTGTCTGACCCAAAACGGTTGGAAAACAAAATTCCAAGGGAGAGGCTCGGTATTATTATAAAATCAGGGACGAATCGGTCGCGAGCCAGAAAACAGTCGCAAAACAGCGTGCCCCCGAAGAACGAAAGTGTGCCTGGTGTGTCTTCTCGAGCGAGTTTATTCGCGACCAAATGGTTTTTCCCGGCATCCGTGAAATTCCCAATTGCGCGTCCGCCTGGAGGATCTTAATTAGCCCGCGCGTTCTAAGTTTAAACACCTGTGGAGCGCCGTTTGTCGTCTGACCGCCAGCTTCTCCACGATTCGTCGCGCCTTGGAGTCTGGCCAAGAACTCTCTGGCGGCTTCGTGGAAGTCGGGAAACGGCTTTAGGGTTTTTTGAAAAACTTGGGAGGCCTTTGAAAAAGTGGGGGGGGGGACTTTGAAATCCCGGGACGGCTTCGATAAAACTCTCTGTTGAAGCTTTGGATCCATTTGTCCTTCATCGCGTGCCATCGCAGATAAGAGGAATTGGTATGAATACTCTCGTCGCCACGGAATTTGGTAAATGTGACGTTGGACGGACGTGTTCGACGATCGTTTTTTGTCGTTTATCGCGTCTCGACGTTTCCAGGATGTGGCTTCCTTCGTCGCGCGCGCGTTGTCGGCCGCCAAGAAGGGCCCGAATTTTATATGCGTTTCTCGGAGGATGGTAAACCACGGAGAGAAAGAACTGTTCATCACCGTGTATGAAATATTAACGCATTGTCGAGGGAGATCGGTATGTTACGTACGAATTGCTAGTCACAGTGTGCAGAAGAAATAATAAGTGTACCTGCATACACGCATAATATTCATCGATATACACGTGACCACGGAGAAAACAAGATGGCGGACGGAATAAGAAACTTCGATCGAAATGTAGCTAATTTGCGCTAACAGATTCGATCGAAAGGTTAATTTTATCGACGTTTATAGAAAATTGCGAAGTGTATAATCGTTTATACATTGCAACGAAGACCTAGTGTTGCTACAATTCTATAAAAGGAAACTATTACTTCCTGCCAAAAATATGTTTCCGGGTTAGATAGCAGCGCCACCACGATGACAATCGTGGCGAACTAATAGTTCTCTCACTTCGTTTCTTTTTCGTCCAATTTGTTTAAGGAGTTATATCATCGTCCGAGTTCCTAACTATTCTAACTCCATTTTTTCAAAAAAATTTAGTTAATCTACGTGCACCTCATTGGCCCAAAGAATACAGATTCATCATAATATAATGAAAATTCAATCTAGAGAACAACAAATATTCTTTTAAGTCCTATCTCCGAAACATTGTAAGTTTTTTTTCTTAATGGTTGTATCCCCAAATACTAGCAACAGTTACAAATTTATGTCGATAATAAAATAGCTATTCAGTAGCTGATATTAGAGTATGTTTCAGAGTACATTTAAGTTTCCCGCTTCTATAATATTAAACTTCCTAAACTTTAAAATTTTTTCAGTTTAGAACCTAGTGGAGATAGAACAATTAAGAACTAAAGCGACGATATATCAATCAACAGACAGCCACGTTCAGCACGAGCGCGCGCGAGGCGATCAATTATTTAGGAGTAGTATTTCGACGCAAATTTCGTGACACGGGGAAAACAGCAATAATTGGAATGTCGGCGGAAAACCTGTTTCTCTGTTTTGCGTCACTCGGAAACGAACCAGCCGCGGCGGTGGTCACGAGTTCTCGTTGAACACGAGATGGACATTCAAAACCAGCTTATCTCTGTCGTGATATGAAAACATGTGGCAGCCAGATTACAATAAACGATACCTCCGGGTGTTTTACCAGCCGGCGATGCCCGTGGAATTTTTAAACATCAAACATCGTGGCTGGGAGGCGTAACCGCAACCTTATTATGTTACCCGTAAATAAATATCGCACGCTGAAAACACATATTCGACTCGAAATAGAGGGCGTTCCAGGCGAACGGGAAACAAAAAGACACTCGATTCTCAACGTCCATAAAATGTAGTAAATATCAAGGTATTTACGGAAACTGGTAGCAGAAATCAGTGGATCTTTCTATACGTAAACACAATATATCGCGGACACATTTCGATAAATAATCGTCAGAGCGTGGATTCTAAGAATTTTCAGCGAATACGAGGTTTTATGAACTGTTCCACCATTTAAAAATATCCAATGGAAAATGTCTACTTTTTCAAAATCTAAACCTGTATGAACATCCACAGGCTCGTAATCATATGTTATTTGTTGTATTATTGCTAGAATCATTGTATACAATAGATGGTAGTGTTTCTGTAACTTTTTCCACAAACTGGTCGTTTTATAAGTTACCCAATTTGTTCCTTTAACCTGAACACTTAGAGGTAACCACATATAATGGGGTAATAAACCCTGTGGGACCATAAACCGAAAATCCTTTTGTTGGTCTGACCCAGGGGGTTCTCGAGCAAAGGGTTATTTTCGGCGTTCCAAAAATTTTACAGAGCCAGTCTTTAAAGGAAACCAATCTAGTGGAGGGTATATACTTATCGTAGCACTGAAAACGAGGTGTCATTTCCCTACGGTCACAATATTCTTTACTGACCGTTAAATCCAACCTGGGCTGACTAACTACATAACAACGTTTGGAATTCCCTTAACTTTTTTAACACATCCCCAAAGCTTCTTTAGGCTTTCTGCTCGTGCCGCTGTTCGTAATTTATCACAATTTTCTTTCAATTCTTCCTTTTCCTTGAGCTTTACCTATCTTCATGTTCTCTGCCACATTTTCTTACTAATACCCTGCACATGCGATTCTACACCCTATCTATACTCTATACTTCAAAGTAATTTTTTAAGACAATAATTTGTACTATACTGTATATTCTGTAATACTCTCACGTAACAAAA